CACACACACACACACACACACACACACACACACACACACACACACACACACGAACTCACTCCTTCACTCCATCACAGTAACAAATGTTTTCATTCTCGAAAATCTTTTCTAATACAAAATAATGTGTTAGGTTGCAATGTGTAGGAAGAAAGTTGAAAAGAAGTTTTTGTTTTTTTGTGTGTTTTTTTCAGGTTTTTTTTTTTTCTTTTGTAGGTTTGAGGGGGGGGGGGGTGTAATAGAAGGTAGCCTAGGCCTAAAATACAACAAGGCGCAGCAGCAATATTTAATCGACGTCATGTCTATATATAGCACACTGCACGCCACCTCAAGAGGCCTTATTCTGGGCGCGCTGGCTGGCTGGCTGCCCCACCAAAAGCCTTAACGTTCAAGTAAGCCCTACTTCAAATTTGCATCATTTTGGTTATCGCTGTCTAAATACCTGATTTCCGGGGCCGTCTGGTAGCTGACAGTTCTCTTTACACCGGAGGAGGGGGAGGGAGGAGGGGGGGGGGGGGGGGGGGGGGGGGGGGAGGGGGAGGTGGAGGTGGAGGAAGGGGGAACGCCCACCAGATTATCTATCCTCAGGCCAGGCATTTTCCACGACGTTTTCAGTCACGGGGAAGTAGAAATTTGCGCCGGTTTTTGTTAAATGTTGGTATCGATTCTGTTTTAGTGTGTCAGATGGGTTCTGCCGAGCTATACGTACGTCCAAATACCAAAGATTCTCAACTTGTAGTAGATCTAGTAGAGAATCTTTGCTTTTACTATCCTTTCTCAAGTTCTGAGCGTCTAGGTACCGAGCGATATTAATATACAATCGAAATTGTCTAAGACGGATACTCACTGCAGATGAGAAAAGTGGTCATATTATACTTTAGTTTAGTTTAGTTTTAGTAGAAGTTTTACGGCGCTCGCAAATGCACAAGGTCATATGAGCGCCAGAAGATTAGATGTGTTACAAGAGAGAAACAAACATAAAAAAGAAGAAGGGGAGATAAGGACGATAGATGTTTGACAGGAATGAAGAAGCAAACCACATCAGAGCACCCGCCAACCACCCACTCATATTATACAAGTGGACGTCTAACTTAACAGAGTGCTTAGTTTTAGTAAAAGTTTTACGGCACTTGCAAAACAATAAGGTTATATAAGTGCCGAAGATTAGAGGTGTTACAAGAGAGTAACAAACACAAAAACAGAAGGAGGAGAGATAAGGACGATAGATGTTTGATAGGAAAGGAGGAGCTGACCACAACCGAGCACCCGCCAACCACCCCTCACTAGTCACCCCCACATAACAGAGTGCGTTCTTTTTAAACAACGCAAGAGGGAGAAGCGAAGTGACCGTTTTTACGAGTGATTTCTTAAGCAGGTGGTGGTGGTTGCAGCAGGTTCAACTATAGTTTTGGATAACGGGACTGGGGTGTTTTTTTAAAATTGGTTTTCTTTAAGGGTTTTTTTTTCTTCTGATGTTATATCAATTTATTATTTAGAAGAAGAAAAAAAAGATGGTTTATATAGGCTAGTTCTTAGGAAATCTTAGGTCCATGTGAACCAAATATTAATTCATTTTTTTACACCTTGTAGGCTTTTTCGATACCATCATCATCGTCATCGATACTACCAATAAAATCCGTCGCAAATTTCCGTACCCTGTTTCAGGGTAATCACATGGACGGAGGTGTCAAAATGCTGCGGTTGAAAGAGGGAAGGAGGGAAAGGGTGTGGTGGGGGGGG